TTTAATAGTGTTACTAAGTCCTGTTACATTACCATTGTTATCAAGTTTTACATTGAAATGTAATTTGCTTTGGATAAAATTACCTTTCTTAGAAAGTTCATTATTTATACTTTCAGCAAAAGCGTTTCTTAATGCCATTGCACCTTTATTGTCAAGCAAGTCAATTGCGTTTTCTTTGATAGCATAAGCAGTTGCAAGTTTATCTCCACTGTTTTCTAACAAACTATTTACATATGTATTTACTTTTTTATCAAGACCTTTATAGTCTGGGTAAGTTTCTTTTACTTCTTTGAATGCCTCAAACTTATCTTTACTTCCAGTTAAAAAGTTATCAATAATTTCACTTTCATACTGTGGAGCAAACTTAACTAATTCTAGTCCGCCAATTTCAGATAAGTCACCGCCGTTCTTAACAAATGCATTAATTACTTTTTTATTGTTATTGATAACAACATCTTTATACTTATAGTCTTCACCAAGCTGACCGAGTATACTTTCATTATCAATTAAAAAGTTTTTAACATCTTCTGCATTGTTTATATTGCTTGTTTCAATTATATCTTTACCAAAAAGGTTAGCATTCTGTTTAACAAAGTTAGGGTATCTGTCAGCAATAATTTCATTATAAGACTTTATGTTTCCTCTTTCTGTTAACTCTTTTTCTGGTATACCTGCAGAGGCATTTACCCTTGATGCTTTATTCTGTTTAATATTGTAATTATCTTCTCCAAGGTTAACATCAGTAGAACTTGCTCCTGGTAATTCAGATGTAGCATTTTCAATGAAATGAAGACCGTCATTTTGTGTAACTGCAAATGAATATAAAGAAGTTCTGAACATAGAATTAAATGGTATTTCACCTAAATATAGTTTACCGTTTTCTGTTACAACATCTGCACCGTCATATATAATTATAGGAGTTGCTGTATTTCTAATTTGCATTTTATTGTTTTCAAAAGTAACGCCTTTATCAACACCTAAGTCAATATTGGTTTCACCGTTAAAGAAATATGCCTTTCCTTTTTCTGTATTCAATGTATAGATAAAACCATTATCGGCAACTAAAAACTGAACTGCGTTATTTCCGTTTTCAATTTCTGTTGTTAAAATTCTATCAAGTTTCTTGTTCCAAACTTTAACTACATTGTCTTTGTAAAAGAGCCACAAGTTCTTTCTGACATCTTTTAATTCCCAAGTATCAAGTTCAGCTGGTATTTCTATATCAAAACTTTCGCTAGGAAATGTTAAAGTAGGTGGTACCATATAGTAGCTTAAGATAATTTTACCATAACCATTTCCTAGACCGTTTACTATAATTTTGTTTCCAATTATATCATAAGACAAATTACTGAAACTATCTGTTTTCGCGCGTCTTAAAATAGGTGTATTATTCTGACCGCTTATAAGTCCAAGATATTTAACTTGATAAAAGTCATTTGGTAAAGTATTCTCACCTATTTTAAGTTCAATGTTATTAACAAAGAAGCCTTCGTCTTTATTTATAACTTTCTGGTAGAAAGCAGAATATGCTTCATTTAATAAAGAAATGTTCTCATTCCAAGAAATGAAAGAACTGTCTTCTAAGTCAGCAATTTGTCTTGCCCTTTCTATAATGTCTTTACTAGTGTATTGTATCATAATTAATTTTATTCCTTTAATTTATTAGTTAAAAGTTATGTCCTTTCATTTCTCTGCTGCCTTGTGAAGCAATAAGTGCTGTTTCTGGCTGGTTAGAGAATATAATTGACCCAACTGAAAATAATGTTTCTATTTCCAAACTTTCAGAAGTTGCTTTTTGAAGTTCTGGTTGGAACCTATGATAATAAGTTTTACTTTGTTCATCAAACATAGTTTTAGATAAAGCAATTTCCTTTACTGAAGTTTCTTTTACACCATTCATTAAAGTTGTTGCTTTCATTCTTAAATAGCCGTCTTCATCATTAGGGTTGTAAAGTCTAATGTATATACAGTCATTTGTTGAGACAATATTATTCTGAAGACCATAGAAACAAGTTGAAAGTTTTAATGGTACAACTTTATAATTATCATTTATTTTATAATAAGCGTATCTGAATATATTGGCGTCTTTTTTGAATATAATTTCATTATCACTGAAGAAGACATTATCAGGTGCAACAAAGTCGTTGAATGGTAATTCCCAAATACCGTTATCATTTATAATTAATGCTTCTTTTTCATAAATTAAAACAATATCTTGAGAAGTTGTATTAGGTTTAACACTGATAGGTTTACCATATCTTGTTAAGTCTATGAATTCTCTTAAATTTGCGTCACCTGTAAAAGCATACAGCTTTTTATTAACATCTGAATAGAATAATGCTGCTAATGGAAGAGTTCCAATTAATGTCATTTTTCCGATATTTATAATTGGCTGAATTGTAGAAACTACTCCATTACTAACACTGCTTTGGAAAATAACATTGTTTTTAATTGAGTAAATAATTCCAGCAATTGTAAATACTTCCCTTACATTATATGAAACAGAACCCAAGAAATAATTCAACAGGTTCTCACCTTCAAATGTTGCCAACTGCGCTGATAACTTATCAGTAAGTTTAAAGTTGTTATATAACAAATATGTATTTTCAATTTCAGAACTTGGACATATCGAAAGAAGCAAAGCAGTGGTATCAACGCAGAGTACTGTTGTATTTGCCAATTCAACATTATCTAATTTCTTAAAGTTAAAAGAACAGTTATATTCTGGTGTTGCTGACAAGTTATCTTCTGTTGTCAAATAAAAGTTTGCCCAAGTATTTGGTTCAGAAGAGTCTATCTTTGTTCCTAATAAATTACTTATTTCCCAATTACTGTTTTTACTAATACAAGGTACAGAGTTGAATAAAGAAGAAGAAACACTTATGCCTGAAATTGGGTATTGTTCGTTTACAGAAATTGCTGCCCATCTCATATCAGTATATTCTGGTTTATAGTAGATAACTTCACCCACTGTCTTCAGAATATCAAACTTCTGAGTATCATTACTATAGCCTTTAATGAAACTGTTACCAACATCTGTTCCTAACAATAAGAACTTTCTTGTCTTAGTATCAAAGCAATTTACACCATATGCGTTACCATTAACAATATATCTGTCAAGATAAACTTTTTTATTGATAACATCGTGCTTTCTAATTTCATATGTTATTCCGTCCGTTGTTGTGTATATGAAATAATTATCATCAATGTAAATTGGTCTAGAACTGTCAATAGTAAACCAAGGCTCAATTATAGTTCCTTGTCTCTGCTCGTCTTTTACACAAGAAATATTTGAAACTATATTGTTTGTTCCAATAACTCGTAAACTGAAAGAACTTCTATTAATGTTTATTACCTGGTTACCTGAAATACTGTTATCACTTTTAATGAATGTATCTTGAACACCGTTATGTTCAGTATCAAATGAGATAACTTTTCCAGTAAACACAGTTGATGCGCCAGTTAATACTGTTGAAATTTCAATTGTTGACATTGCTTGTCTTTCAAGTCTTAACAGGTCTTTAACTTTATACCAAATTTTACCATCTATAAGTGATACCAAGTCTGCGAACATAAGTACATTATAAGATGTATCTGCTGTTAAAACACCGTTTGTTAAATGCAAACCAGACCATCTATAAGAGATAGGATAAAGCTGAACAGATGTTTTAGCAAAGTTTACTTCTGTATCTTTATAGAAGATAGCATTATCACCTACAATAGCAATGCTTTTAATTATATCAGAGAAACCAGAAACTTTAAGTCCGTCAGATACAAAGTTTGTCTCACTTTCTATATCAGTAATTGTATTTCTAAAATATGTCAAGTCTGGCTGGAAATATTTCATGCCATCTTTTGTATTGAAAATAATTTGTCCGTCAAGATATTTAACAAACTGAAACAGAACATCGTCATTCTTTTCAAAAATGGCGGAAACATTTATCATATTTCTAATTACAGTCAATATAACTCTGTCACCGATAATGGCAGTTACCATTGCTTCACTGCCTAAGTGGGTAACATCAAAATGAACAGTAGTAAGCAAGTCTGGTATATTTCTTCTTAGAATTTCAGTTGTTCCCTGTATTACATATAAGTCGCCATTCTGACTGTAGTAAATATCACAGAGAGGAGTTTTAGCAATTAAGTCATTATTACTATTTTCGTGTTTTATCTTTCTTATTGAGAAATTACAGTTTGTTGGAAAACTATATTTAGGGACACTGTTAACAGTGTCTAGATAAATATCGTTGCCTTTAACTATCCAAACTTTATTATCAGGCCCTATAAAACTTAAGTCAGACCCAACTAAACTTTCGTTATCTTCACTTCTATAGAATGGTGATAAACAACCTTGAAAGAATGAACCTTTTAAGTCATTGAAGCCAATGAACTGTTTTGTATCCCATTCATAAGAAGATGTATTTAAAAGCTGACCTGATAATGGTATTGGGTATTGAGTATTTTTTGGTTCTGCCATTTATATTTCTCCCTACAATAAATTGCGTATAAACCAGCCAGTGTATCTAAATGGATAATGAGATGTATCAATATCGTGCATTATTGCGTAAGTACTTGCTGGCGGTATAATATATGTTTCATTTCTATAAAAACTATCTAATGTGTAAGTCAACATATAGTCACCTTCTAACATTTTAGAACTTGGAGAAACGATAGAAGGTATTCCACTGTCAGAAACTTTGTAGAAAACAAAACCTAGTTCATCTGCTTTTGCTGCTAATTCGTCTTGTCTTTCATATACAGTTATTTCCACATCTGAACTAAAGCAAATTGGAAAAAGTTCTTCAAGCGCGTCTTCTAAACTTAAAGTTGTTCCATTATATTTCCAAGCGTAATAGTATCCTTTTGGAGTATTGTTCTGTAAGTCTACTAAGCTAAGACCTGTAATTCCATTTATTGTATGCATATCAATAAGGCCTGCAGAATGACCTGTCTGAATTTCTGCATCAGAAGCTGCTGGCTGATACAGCAATGAGGTGTGTCTCATATTAAGAAAATAACTATTAATAAAAGTACCATTTAATTTGTATATATTGCTCCATTGCACAATTATACTAAATAAAATTGTTGCCACATTTGCAGAGCTTTCATCAAACGTTTCGAACATACCTAATTTGTATTTCTCTGGGCTAGTTTGTAATACATATGTAGCATCAACGCTCGGGAAATAGATAGGGTTAAAATGTCCGTTTAATAATGTTGAATGATACTGTGGTGTATATAATGTTTCAATATCATTTTTTACCGGTCCTATAATTGACTCAAACTCAATGTTATCATATGTTTTAAGTGTTGGAACTTCAATTGCTCCATTATCAGTTTTCTTAAAGTATTTTGTTGCCATTATAAAAGTTCTCCATTTTCATCACATTCTTTCCAAGTTCCACCAAGTTCATTAATATCAGTGGCGTAATTTTCATCAATTTTCAATATAATTCCAATTGGTAAATTGCCAGTTTCATTTGCGCTTTCTATTGGAGTTGGAGAAACGTCTACTTCTTTTCCTAATAAGCCTTCACCTTTAAGTTTATTTACTTCAATATAGTATTTAGCTACTCCACTTGGTTTATCTTGATATACTGTTATAGGCGCATCAACTGTTTCATCAACAGAAATGCAAGAAAAGTATAATTTTCCTAATTCACCAACTTTTAGATAAACAATACCATCATCATATAACTGAATTTCTTTAATACAGTCTCTGTTATCCATTGCCCAAATTATATTAGAACATACTTCTAAATTACTAGAACAAACAGAGTTTACTCTAACAGAGAATAAGTTGCTATTATTGTTTACAAGTTTTAGTAAATAAGTTCCGTTGAATGGTTTAATTCCTACCCAGGTATCATCATTATTGTCTATTTCAATAAAGTCTTCACCTCTACCTGTAATTTTAGAGGCTTTAAGTAAATTGATATCTGCTGTATCAGTAACTTCGATATCTTTTATATCTATCTTACCGTCTTTATAGTTAAAGTTATCATCAGAAATTTCTTTAACTTTTACGTCGTTTAATATTGAGCTTTCACTTACTTCTAATGCTGTAAGTGTAGTATTTTTAGTTGCAGATAAATTAGTATTAACTGTTGTTAAGTTGTTATCTTCGTTTACGTGGAAAGCGTCACTAACATCAAATGAGCCATCAACATCTAAATGAAACTTATTACCAGTACCTTCTATACTGTCTACCTTAATTCCATCTGCTGATATTACATCATTAACAGTTAATTTTCTAACTT